TAACAGTTATCGACGAGATTACGGTTCGACGATATTATCAGCCATATTTTCAACCATTTCATTCAAGGTCTTTACCGCTGGTTACTATCGTCTCGCGGACCCCAACCAAGTAGTCTACACTTACCGATATGACTCAGTCCATTCGTTAGTGACTTCATGGATTCGTGCCATGTTTTGGTCTGGCCACTGCTAACTTTCCTCCAACCTACTCCAACACCATAAAACATAGCTCGTCGAGGCAGTCGGTGGTTGGGCATTCGTAACAAATGTCACACATAACACAAATGAACAATGGTTTCATGAATGCCGTTACTTATTATATCAATAACCGATTTTCTATACAAACCAATCCATGGGTACTATGCGACAATAGACAGACAGATACAACACAGAACTTCGTACGTAAGTACATCAGTTCAGGTTGCCATGCCCCATCAGCACAGAGACTCAACTGTCAGTTCAAATCCAAAAGAAGTAGCGATAGTAGAAGTGTTAGAAGTAATGGAGAAGATTAGGGAGCGAAGATATGATTCGGAAAGTATAATTCAGTGAGATAAATTTAGAAGGAGAAGGACTGAGATTACGAGGAATTTAGAAGGTTAGAATTTCATAGAACACAAAGAGTGGATGCACCTGCGCCATTACAAACTATTTTGAGCCATGTCGTTCAAGGTCTCTAACCATCGGTGACTATCGTCTCGCGGACCCCAACCACGCAGCCTACATCTACCAACATAACTCAGTCCACTTGTCAGTGACTTCATGGATTTGTGTCATGTTTTAGTCCGGCCGCCCCTAAATTTCTTCCAATCTACTCCTACACTACAAAACATAGCTCATCTAGGCAGTCGGTGGTTAGCCATACGTACCACATGTCCTAACCACCTCAAATGATGAAGTTTCACTACTTCATCTACTGATTTGCCATCCTTACCTAGAAGTCGTTTCCTAACGACAACATTGCTTATACGGTTGTCCCACGGTATATGAGCAATGCTTCGGAGACACCGATAACCGAAAAATTATACTACAGCAGTTGTATACTGAATACTGCTATTGAATACTGCTAACATTTAACACTGTTTATTAAAAAACTATCAACATATGAATTAAAATCGGAGCTAAAAAGTAATCTTTTACTTTATAGTTAAAACTACTTGATTTCCGAAAATTCTCATGTTTCAATGATCAATTCGTTGATGAATTTTTCAATTTGAACTTAAATCAGTTTATCTCTTGTATTTCGCAAGCTCATGTATATATATACATAAATACAACTTCATTGCTTATTTTATGACTATGGTATATTTCATTAAAATTAATTGTTACTCTGTAGCATTTAAATAGTTAGTTAAGTAAGTGTTTTAATATTTTGTTACTTTTAGGTTGAGAGATTTTTCAATAATTGATTTGGATTGAAGATAACTATTTGGTTAGTTAATTAATTGATTAATAATAAACTGATGTAGCGTTGTTTCATTCATTCATTCATTCATTCAGTTAGTGTTGATTGCGTTCTGTCGATTAAAAACGGTCACTGATCTAGATGACTTGATATCGCGTGTACTATGTTGAGAACTCTTGAATCGATCAGCTCTACTGAACACACCCAACATCGAAGCAGCATTCACAGACCTCCCAATTGATGTTGGCGCACTTACGATTGAGATAATCAGTATGGCCATCAGACAAATCAAGAGTGGCAAAGCAGCAGGACCAGACAACATTCCAGCAGAGGCAATGAAAGCAGATGTGGAAGCAACTGCGATAATACTTCACATTCTCTTCAAGAAGATTTGGGATGAGGAACAAGTACCATCAGATTGGAAAGAAGGATACCTCATCAAAATACCAAAGAAAGGCGACCTCAGCAAGTGTGAAAACTACAGAGGCATCACTCTTCTTTCAATACCAGGCAAAGTCTTCAACAGAGTATTGTTAAACAGAATGAAGGACTTCGTAGACGCCCAACTTCGAGATCAACAGGCCGGATTTCGTAAGGATCGATCGTGTACTGACCAAATTGCTACATTACGGATCATTGTGGAACAATCAACAGAATGGAACTCACCACTCTACACCAACTTCTACATCAACTACGAGAAAGCATTCGCTAGCGTGGATAGGAAAACACTGTGGAGGCTTCTTCGACACTATGGTGTGCCTGAGAAAATAGTTAACATCATACGGAATTCTTATGATGGATTCAACTGCAAAATCGTACACGAAGGACAGCTAACAGACTCTTTCGAGGTGAAGACCGGTGTCAGGCAAGGTTGCTTACTCTCACCCTTTCTCTTTATCCTGGTGATCAACTGGATTATGAAGAGGTCGACATCTGGAGGGGAGCACGGTATCAACTGGACAGTTAGGACGCAGCTGGACGATCTGGACTTCGCAGATGACCTGGCTCTTCTATCTCACACGCAACAACAAATGCAAGAGAAGATGACCAGTGTAGAAGCAGCCTCTGCAGCAGTAGGTCTCAACATACATAAAGGAAAAAGCAAAATTCTCCGATGCAATACAACATGCACCAACCAAATCACTCTTGATGGAGATGCTTTCGAGGACGTTAACAACTTTACATATCTTAGCAGCATCATCGACAATCAAGGTGGATCCGATGCACATGTGAGGGCGCGGATCGGCAAAACAAGGGCTGCATTTCTACAATTGAAAAATATCTGGAACTCCAAACAACTTTCAACCGAAACCGAAATCAGGATTTTCAATACAAATGTCAAGATAGTTCTACTGTATGGAGCGAAAATTTGGAGAACTACGAAAGCCATCATCCAGAAGATACAATTATTTATTAACAGTTGTCTTCGCAAAATACTTCGGATTCGTTGGTCAGACTCCATTAGCAACAACATACTGTGGGAGATAACGAACCTGATTCCAGTGGGGGAGGAAATCAGGAAGAAGTGGTGGAAGTGGATAGGACGAACGCTACGAAAAGGACCGGACTGCGTCAGAAGACAAGCCCTAACATGGAACCCTCAAGGCAAAAGGAAAAGAGGAATGTCAAGTAACACATTACGCTGAGAAACAGAGAAAGATGTGAGAAGAATGAACAAACATTGGACAGAACTGGAGAGGGAAGCCCAGGACAGAGTTAGTGGGAGGAAATTGGTGGGCGGCCTATGCTCCATTGTGGGGGTAAGTAAGTAAGTAAGTATGTTGAGATATTTCTGGTTTGAAGGTAATCGGGGAAGATAAACCTCCTAGGACTAAGCTGGTTTCTGATTGTCTGTCACTCGTCATCAAGGTACACCTAAGATATTGTGTGAATTAAAGTTTTTATGAAATTATGAACTGTAAAATCAGACATCATAAAATCGAAGCATTAATAAGTTTATGATATTGGATAAGCCTCGCGCTATATTCAGTATTGGACAACTGGAGTCCAACCCATTAGTCTAAACTTATTATGCTCATTACTGAAACGTAAGCGTTATGCGCTTCATATTATGCGATATGTTTAAATTTAACCTACCATTTTGTATTGACATCATGATATATCTGTGTAGCTGTAAACAACTCTCCTAAAGAAATCCTATGATAGTTTTTGATAGACACTACTAAGCAGAAGCGCTCAGCCAAACACCATAGCCACATATCTACTTAGCCCAAAATAGATGCTTATCCTTCAACTAATCACTTTAACTGTCTCCGGTTCATCTGTCTCTATCTACGACCAGGTGTGCTATTTTTTCAACCACATGTGTCATCCACATTGTTTGTCTTCCAAGTTAACCTACTGGAAGGAGCTCAATACTAGCATCGTTCACTTCTTTTGTATCTTTAATCTTTCAGTCCTAACTAACCTGAATCAATAATGTAAATGAAGACTTAGAATAGGGACGAATATGGACAGCCATTTCGTCCGAGCATAGGACTCAGCAACACTGCGCATCCACAACCACCGCTCAGAAGATTCAAACTCAGGACATTTGATCTCGCGCACGAACGCCTAACTTCCCATATTAATTCGGTCAGTCAGTCAGGCAACAACAACAACCTAGAACATCGTACGTACGTACATCAGTTCAAGTTGCCATATCACATTAGCACAGACATGCAATAGTCGCTTCAAATTTCATAGTAGTAGAGGTAGCAGAAGTATCAGCAGCAATCGGAGAGATTAGGGTTCAAGGATATTATTCAGGAAGTAGAATCTAATGAAATAAACGTAAAGAGAAAAAGATAAAGGTGATGAGGATAGTCAGGATAGTTAGAAGACTCTACATTTTGTCAGTGCCTTCACCAAATAGAACTATGTCATCCATATATTTTCAGCCAACCAGTGAATCTCCTGGTAGAAGGTCCACTCCTGACAATGCGGACGAAGACAATATGTTATATCTAGAATGCAGGGATTGGTAATCTCTGACAGACATCACTTGAAGCAATCAATTCTGATAACAGTTCACCATAAGCTCTTATTCGACCAGTAGTGCTCGAGCAGAGACAATCAGCGATTGCGACCAATTTGATGGGATCACGCGTAGTTCTCAAATTCTACTTAAGATCTCAGTCAATCCAACTGCTAAAACTTAACCACCATCCTTGAAAATCTGATAGATCAGTCTATCAAGACCCACTGCCATCCCTTGATTCAGATATCCTATCGCTTTCTCAACTTCATGGAGCCGGACGACTTACATCGATTTGCCATTCAGGTTAACCGAAAATCGTGGGCAACCGGTGTGTGTGGCTGATGGCCAACTGGATCGGTCCCTAAAGTGTTCTGTCCATCGATCCAATCGCCTGGATTGAGAAACAAAATGGCCGCCCCGTGCTTCTAGGTTTCTTTCTAACCGTGGTCTAACAATGATCGATTCATGATTTCATTGACAGTGAACAATCTTCACAACTCTATAATGAGAATTAGAAATATATTTAAGTCTATATATACTTAGATTGGTATCTTAAGGTTTCTTTACACTAGGCTATACTTTATCTTTTAGTCTATTTATGAGACCTTTAATGTTATGCCATTCTTTATCCTTTTGTCTGAGTCTACTACCTTTTCTATTATGTAAACCTCATCAAAATGATCTCGTCATTAAAAAATCTATACAAGATACTTGATTCGTTGTAACAATAATAGTATAAGCGACGATGATGCTACTTATAATACTACAACTACTACTACTACTACTAGTAGTAGTAGTAGTAGTAGTATTAGTCGTAATCGTAGTTGTAGTAGTGGTAGTAGTAGTAGTAGTAGTAGTAGTAGTAGTAGTAGTAGTAGTAGTAGTAGTAGTAGTAGTAGTAGTAGTAGTAGTAGTAGTAGTAGTAGTAGTAGTAGTAGTAGTAGTAGTAGTAGTAGTAGTAGTAGTAGTAGTAGTGTAGTGAACGAGAACACAGGTGGGGCAACCGAATTGTATTTAACGAAAATTACAGAGTTACTCAGTAAAATCGTTAATTTTCAAATTATCAGTTCATCATATCAAACTGGACTGTTCCTGTTGCAAACAACATCAATCCATTGTCACTGTTCATGCGTTTCATACAAATTCCATTGTGTTCTATCTAACTCTTCCTTTCTCTTGATCTTCCGCCCCCATCTTCTGCTACCAGACATTACGTTGACACTCACTTCATATACTACTTATAAGTAGCTCGCACCACAGTAGTAGTAGTAGTGGTAGCACTGGTAGTAGTATTATTAATCGTTCATTTATTCATATCAACATATATAACAAGATGTTATTTCAACAACTCTATCCTCCCTGATTACATACACTCATATGACTGTTTATAATATACCTATTATTAAACGACAATCGCTTATCTACTATACATATGGATACAATGATAGGCAATACTAATAGGCATATCTATTATACACACAACTAATACACATAGAGTATCATGTTTTTAGTTTTCCCATAAAAAAAACAGTAAATCTTAATGATGACAGCTGAGTAAACAATAAAATTAGTCAATCTACTTTTGTATTGGAACACATCTTCTCTCGCCCGCTCTCTTGCTCTCTCTCTCTCTTTAAAAGTTTTATCTATTGCTGTTATTATTATTATTATTACTGCATATCACATCACATCATTGATCACGATTGTTTGTTTGTTTGGCTGTCCGTCTGTTTGCTTGTCAGTGTTGTTTCTTCTTCTTACTACTACTATCATGAAATTACTAAGTAGTATATCTCAGTTATTTATTTTTTTCTGCTGTATATGTGAGTGTGTGTGTGTGTGTGCATAGGTAGGTACAAAACAACGGAACAGTTTGTAAACTTTGCTTTTATTTATTTCAAAATTGATAGACCTGCGCAACAAACAACACAAGTAATCTGATAGAAATAGGATAAAATGTAGAGAAAACATTTCTTAATAAAAGAGTTTTCTTACTGATAGATATATAATTATTATTATTATTATTACTATCAAATTTTATTTTTCAGAAACATTAATAAATTAAATCTTTAAGAAACATTTTGTTAATTATCTCCTAATGATGAATGATTAAAAGACGGTTAATATGGTTAAAATGCAGTGAATCTAAGTGTTTTTACGATATGAGATTGAATCTGTCAATTGAATCTATCTATTCAATCACAGTGACTAGAAGCATCGCTTTTATCAGTGATCAAACTAAAAAAGGTGGGTTCGCTGAGTAGATGAAACATTCGTCCTCAGTCAATCAGTCAGTCAGATGCAGATGTAGAACTTCGTACGTAAGTAAATCAGTTCATGTTACGATACCACATTAGCACAGAGATATAATTGTCAATTCAAATCCCATAATAGTAGTAGAGGTAGTAAAGGTATTAGAAGTAATCGGAGAGGTTACGATTTGAAGATATTATTCAAGAAGTATGGTTCAGTGAGATAAGGATAGAGAGACAAAACTAGAGGTGTTGAAGAATCCAGAAGATTAGGATTTGAGAGAACACAAAGAATAAATACACCGGCGCCATTGCGAACGATTTTGAACCATGTTGTTCAAGGTCTCTAACCATCGATTCTTATCATCTCGCGTTCCCCGACCAGGTAGTCGACAATTACCGACATGGCTAAGTCCACTTGTCAATGACTTCATAGATTGCTGCGATGTTTTGGTTTGGCATACAGCACGACTACTGAAACCATTCAGAATAGGTGTAGCACACAAACCAACAGAAACACTTCAATAAATCCTATGTAGATCAAAGGACAAGATGACAAAGTGGACGGCTTCTTTAGCTGTGTTTACATGAACTCCAATTAGCAGTCAAACGCCACGATAATTCTTCGCTTATATTAATACATACGGACAATTATGAACATACATTCGATTGGAACAACGTGGAAATACTGCATAGGGGAAGGACAAAGAACTCTAGAAAATTTTTAGAAGCTTGGCACTCAGGTCAATCAGTAATCAACAAACACATCGACATTGATCCAATTTATCAACCAATGAAAAAAATCATAGGTGACATAGGATAAGAAACAGATCAAAAAGGGGATACAATAAAAACAAAGGTGCAAACAACGACAGATTTAAGGTTAGCAGAACAAGCTACAGGTCAAAGGTGGAGTAATTCGAATACTTCACTTCTATCTGAAATTTGTGCTGATGATGTTGTTGTTCAGACGAACAATGAAAGCTCCACAACTAAAACATCCAGCTCAGAGAACCAAACACCTCCACAACAATCATCCATCATAGCTACAAATTTTCTCCACCATTTGGGTTTCAAGTTTTATGCTTCAATCCACACTGATTAAATACATAATAAGTTGAAATTTCTATTCAATCATATTAATTATATAGTTGAAACCAACCCCCAGTTACTTTTTCTCATTGCTTGACATAAAGTGAAAAGCGTTAAAAACAACGGTAGATTATGTATAGTTTAGAAATCTTCAACAGTGTTCGTCTACTACCATCCTATGTTCATAATCAACTCCCGTACACTCACTCCTAGCAGTGAGTACTTTATCTTGATACAAGTTATTCAAATTTTCAACTTCTTAGTACTGAGTTAAGGTTACTGCTCTAGAGTTTATACAAACAAATTTTAATCAAAGTTCGAAATATGAATAGCCAGATTTAAGCTTATTGGTATAGAAAAAAAAAAAAACATGGCGCTTATCATAATAATAAAACATACAAATTGTACACGTACCACCCTATACTGATTGTATTTTTTTTATCTGTCAATAAAGTATCCTTCCTACACAAGAATAAACAATTGCGTTTTGATGTTGTTTTTTTTTTCGCCCTCACAAGTTCCAGTAGTAGTTGTTGTTCTCTAGCTGATATCACAGTTTGTTGGATGAGAAATGTGTTGTTTGGTTTTTTTTTGTTACCGAAATAAGTAAGTATACCCTTCATAATTTTCTTATCGCAGTACAATAATCTTTGAAGAAAATAAATTCATGAAAACCACTGACTTGTAGTAGTAAAGTAAAGTAAACATTTACATTTATTGCAATAATTGAAGTTATCCGTGAAATAATCGACAGACAAATGAATCAGATACATTTAATAAGCTTTATTGATGAAAACTGATCCCACTGAGTTGGTTGAAGAACACCGACAAGGGCCTTTATTAAGTTAAAACTGGTCTTAAGTCCATATAATGAAGGAGTGCTATGGAATGTGGTTGGTTAGCAAAGCTAGCCAATAGAAGAAAACCTCGGTGAAAGAAGCTAACCGTAAAAAAGTCGTTTAAACCTTTTAAACTCTGCCTTGGGAATTGACGGATCTTTATTTAAAAGAGTTATGAGGTCTCATTATGGTAGCCGAGATTCTTTGGAAATCATAAGATCAATGTCACTTTTGACAATCAAAGCAATAACTAATGTAGGTACATAGAATGTTCATACAATATGAGAGAACGGGAGAAACATTCAAGTTGATGAAGAAATGAAAAAATGCAACCTTGAAAGAAACCCAATGGACGAAGGTTGAACTATGAAGACTAGCTCCAGGATGTTATACTCCGATCATGAGGAATAAAATCCTCCACATACACAAAGAGTTGCACTGATGTTGTCCAAACAAGCACGAAAAGCACTCATAAGATGTTAGTTTCATGGACCTAGGATCATCAAAGCATCCTTCAAAACAAAGAAAGAGGAAATCACAATGAACATCATTCATTGCTATGCGCCTGCAAATGATAATTGTGCAGATATCAAAGTTCAGTTATACAAGAAGCTGCGAACTACGAAAACCATTATCCAAAAGGTACAGGTATTTATAGATAGCTATCTACATGAAGTATTCTTGATCCTTTGGTCAGACGTTGTCAGCAACAACCTACTGTGACAGACAACGAACTAACTTCCAGTTGAGGAGAACACTGGGAAAAGATGCTGTTGGTGGAGATAGGACATACATTATAGAAATTGCCCAACAATGTTTTGAGGAAGGTTTTAATTCGGAATCCTTAAGGCCAATGGAAAAGAGGCAGACGAAGTAACCTATTGCGCTGGGAAGTGGAAGCAAACATCAAGAGAATGAATAGCAGTTGGAAACAATTGGAAAGGAGAACTCAGGACAGTGTTGGTTGGAGATCGCTGTTCAACGTCCTAAACTTCATGAGAAGTAACAAGCGTAAGTATATAATTTATTTGGAGGGATTCTTCGGACAGTCATTTAATTCACAGGTGGTTTGTGTCGTGGATTTCAATGATACTTTAGCTGACATTAATCTTTGACCAATATTACTTATAGCTTGAGATAATCTCCTCGAAACCTTTACAACCAAACAATAATAGTAACTTCATTAGTTAACAAACTCAAAATTTATTTGAGGCACGAATGTGAAGTCGATGGTTGGAAGATTTCAGTCGTCTTGCGAGCAAAATGGTTGTTACAAATGTCATTAAGTGATCACTGCTCTATATCACGAATTGCAGTGAAGGAGAACACAGGTGAGGGCAACCGAATTGTATCAATCGCAAATTACAGAGTTACTCAGTAGTAAAATAGGAAAACCATATCGTAAACGGTTAATTTGCAAATCTTCAATCCATCATCAATCCATTGTCTGACATTTCACTATTCATGCATTTCATACAAATTTCATTGTGTTCCCACTCTTCCTTTCTCTTGATCTTCCCTTATCTTCTGCTGCCAGACATTACGTTTTCACTCGCGTCATATACTACATATAAGTAGCGCGCACCACAGAATGAAGTAAAGTTAGAATTATACAACTGGACAGCGATTCAGTGTTTCTGATGATTAAATTTTACCATAAAATCTGCAGATTCTTAGCCTGCTCCCTGATCAGTGTACACATTTGGGCAGTCCCAAAGTAGTGTTCGTTGCTCCTTGACCTTCATTGGCATCTCAACTAAAATCAATCTGTGATGGATGCAACCTGCATAACATTATTGATCTTATGAAAG